TTATTATGAGGATTATAATTTGAACCCATTCTATAACAACCCTTATATGAACGATTTTTGGTCAATTGGCTATGAATGGTTCGATGTAACAATCCATCAGTGGGCATTGTCTGTCTATCAACCAAATCCACATCCTTCACTACCTGCTTGACTTGTTCAGAGAGAACTCCAACTGCACTATTCATGGATAAAGCAAATTAGTGGCTTATTGTCAGCCATTCGGGAAATTCATGAAAATTGTTGCTGTCATGGTGGTATTGTGCATAGCTCCATTTATGTCATTGCTAAAGGAAAAATAAAATTGTTTAACGTTAGGAATTCTCTAGATGGTGTTTAAGATTGAGAACTCATTAAGTTGAGCGATTTTGCAAGCTTTGGAGACTTCATAAATAGTTTGCTTTATGACTATACAATATGGAGTAATAAAGACAATCTTGTGTTGTTTTTAAAGTCGGATTATACTCTTCATGAATTTGTTAAGAAATTGATGAATCCTTTGTTTTTACTGACGCTCGGCTTTAGGATGAAGAAAATAAGTTATGTTTATCAAAGTAAGTCCGCTTATGCACTTAAATTTTTTTCCGACCACATTGCATTTGAAAAGTTCAGAGGTTGGAATTCGAATCAGAGTAAGTGGGAATCATTTTTGGAAGGAGTATAAATTTGATAAATACGATAACCAGCCACATCAACTGCTGAGATTCAAGATAAATGTATCTCACCATTTTAAACAACATAATCGGTCCTTAACAATTGAGGCGATTGATGCCAATAGAGAAATCGCATTAATTTCAACTTCTGTTATAACTATTGGGGAGGAGTTCAATATCCTCCGAATGAAATTATTAGGGGAAGTAGTTTTGGAAATGGATAATTTTTTTTTTATATACTTTAGAAACATAAAACTAATGGCCTAGACATACATGCCACAAACGGTGCATTATGGTGTTCGATGTTGAAAGTAAGATTTTCAGTACGATTTCGCTCTCCGACCTATATCGCTATCACTAGCACATATGATGGGATACCTAATCATCACGACATAGGTTACTATTATATTGTGTTGGATCCAAAATCGGAGGATGAGTATATCACCACACATGTTTCAAAATTTTGTCATCAAATTCATCAATTTCCAAATATGTACTGTCCGAGTCAAATATTGGCTCTTAAGCGGTGAATGAGTTAGTCTGCATTTACTGTACCTCCACATAATTGTATTGTGTATGCTGTATATCCCTGACCATGAAAAAAATTGATATTGCACCCGAACCGCATCAACATTTCTTTGTGCGGCTTCTATAGTAATCTCTGTAGAAGGAAAAAAAAGGTAATGAATAAGGAACGCCAATTTATTGAATACATAGATGATAAGGTTAACAAAAATACATCCATAGTCAAAGTATTAGGAGCCAATGTCACTTTCCATAGTTTTGTCCTTGATATCCATGGAATAGGAGAAGGCGACTGGTGTGATGGAGAAATTGTACGACAGATAGATGGTCCTTCTAAACCCATGAATTTTTTTAACTTTGGTGCTAGAGTTGATGTTAACTGGCTTCTAAATATTTTTTATTATACATGCACTCTTAGCAACCTGAATGATCGCGTTTTAAGCCCATATCTTCTTGTCTATTGTCAAACCAATCCCCCGCCCCTGGATACATTAATTGTTAATTATTATGAGGATTATAATTTGAACCCATTCTATAACAACCTTTATATGAACGATTTTTGGTCAATTGGCTATGAATGGTTCGATGCAACAATCCATCAGTGGGCATTGTCTGTCTATCAACCAAATCCACATCCTTCACTACCTGCTTGACTTGTTCAGAGAGAACTCCAACTGCACTATTCATGGATAAAGAAAATTAGTGGCTTATTGTCAGCCATTCGGGAAATCCATGAAAATTATTGCTGTCATGGTGGTATTGTGCATAGCTCCATTTATGTCATTGCTAAAGGAAAAATAAAATTGTTTAACATTAGGAATTCTCTAGATGGTGTTTAAGATTGAGAACTCATTAAGTTGAGTGATTTTGCAAGCTTTGGAGACTTCATAAATAGTTTGCTTTATGACTATACAATATGGAGAAATAAAGACAATCTTGTGTTGTTTTTAAAGTCGGATTATACTCTTCATGAATGAACCTTGGAAGGGGGAGGGGAGAGACAAGAGAAGAACCTTGGAGGAGTAAAGAATGAACCCCCAATACAATGTTAAGGTAAGAATGAACCTTGGAGGAGTAAATTGAGTCATTATCCATGTAAACAAGGTGGTGATTACAACATTAAGGATTCTTATTATACTAAAATGGACATACTCGTTCCATTACATTGTAAAGCAATCCTTAATTTCGTAATACCATAATTTACAACAACAAGGAACCCTTGTATAAGAATAGGGTAAGTGTGGACCTTGGTGGAATAAATTTGGTCCTTGTGCTTATAAACACAGGGGGTTCCATAAATTTATAAAAGGAATCCTTAAACCTGTAATAGCATAATTTTACAAAGGAAATGACCCCCAATACAATGTTAAGGTAAGAATGAACCTTAGCACAGTAAATTGAGTCATTATTCTTGTAAATAAGGTGGTGATTACAATATTAAGGATTCATATTATACTAAAATGGACATACTCGTTCCATTGTAAATATCATATTTATGTATTATAAATTGATTATAAAGTGCAATATGTATTATTTAAGTATTATATTATTCTATATTCTTATTAAACATTTTTTTATTGATAGGAACATGAACCAATTATATTACGAAAATGACGGAAATCTAAATTCCGTCATTTTAGAATTCTATGTAATTGGCAATTCCTTCATCCAAATGGAGCAGTATATTTTTATATAATAATATGTCATCTTGAGAAGTAATTATAGTGTGGCTTCAGAGTATGGTCATATAATATTTATTATAACATAAGTGGATATTTATTGATATTATATCTTAAAAGTTAAATATCTTATCATTGATTGATATTAAACACGTAAACGAGTTATACTATGTAGTCGTATTTTAGTTCCTTATAGTAATTTATTCACATTTAAGAAATAACAAAACAAAAAGAATAGTTTAGATGTTCAAAAATTGTTTTTGGTTACAAGTAAAAAAAAACAATTTCAGTTTGGCCAATTGGATTTATATAAAGTTACCCAAGTTTTATTGATTTTGGTTACAAGTTATATAAAGCGACCCCTAACTCATGAATCCTAAAAAAATCTGCAAATGTTGTGAAATAATTGAAATAATTGTAACAACATATGGTCCACCCTAATCCATAACACTGTAATACTCTAATTTACAAAGAAAATGACACATAGTACCAAGGTAAGAATGGACTTTGAGGAGTAAAATTATGTCATTATCCTTGTAAATACAATTGAAAATCTTGTAATCTACGAGAAAACTTGTAAACTTTATACTTTTATACTTGTTTTTCTTGACTTTTAATCCTAACAATGTACTATAAAATCCATGGCCATGTTAGGAAAATAATATAAATTTATAATACTTTGTGGATGTCTACAAAAGTACAACCACATAACATAGAGTTCAACAAGTAATATAGTTCTTATTTTAGAAATTGATTTCAACCAATTACATAGACAAAACTCGAGGTGAAAAAATTTGATGGATAAAGACTTTCAAACTCTCAAATAAATGTTGATGTGCATTCATCAATTCTATGAAACAAAAGAAACAAAAAATTAAAACTATCAACCTCAATTGATTTTTAAAAACTAGGCATAAAATACGAAGGAATTAGCCACAACTAGCCATCATAATTCATATAAATAAAACCAGCAACTCATAATGAACTTGAGTAAAGCTACAATGAGGTGACATATCAAAATCAGAAGAAAAAAAAAGTCAAACAGTTCTCATAAAAAAAGAATCTAAAACGGTAACTTTAGATTTATAAAAGTAAACAAATACCATTGCAAAATTCATAAGCATGTCATCGTGAGTCAAAAAGAATAAACTCAATTGAAAAATAACATGTCCAATCATATGTCAATTGCCAAACAGGAAGGACATAATTGCATGACCCTTACGCAATTGTATTTGCTTTAAATATAAACAAAAAGTGGAAACTTGACAACTTGTATAACTAGTAAACAATTTTAAAAAAAATCTTGGGGAATCATAAAGGACAAATGGCGCATGGGTGTGCTGGTGCACTATAGAAGGTGCCCAACAATATGCCCAACATTAAAGATGTGTTTCTTGTATGTGAAAAAACTCAAATTACAATGGTTTTCTTTTCAGCAAAACAAAAACCCATTAACCCCAAAAATAGAATGGAATGTTTTGTACTCACAGTGACTTTGACGACAAAGCAGTCGTTGGCTTCAGCAAGTTTTTTTTGTTGTAAAAATGGGGGCTAAGCCCAAGAAGCAACTAAGCAGAAATTAATGCAGACCTCAAGATGCCAATATGATCAACCTCAAGAACACCAAATATCCCCTTAGTATGCATCTCCTCTGAGTTGCAGGGGAAGAGAGGGAGAGATGACAGAGAGAGTCGGTGGGATTGCCTCAGCAGTTCAAGATCTTCTTTGCCCTTCCTTGTATCGTTCTATTTTTCTTTTGTTGTTCTATTTTTCTATTTTTGTTTAATTTTTCTTTTGTTCTCTTTTACCTACAACAACCATTTTAACCGATTACCACCATTCAACGGTGTGGATTTAACCCACATCCCCACTTACTCATCCAACGGTTCATAATAGGGGCGCATGGATACATCACGCCCACTGTGGAATTTTTGTAAATAGACATCATACACTCCACTAGTTTTTACTTTTTAATCCAAGTTTAATGCCAAAAATTAAAATATTGAGTACAAATGAAGGCCAAGGGCCGAAGAAAACAAAGGCCCTAAACATCACAATCGTGTGAAGCCCAATAGAAATGCCCAAATGCTGCCAAAGCAACATCGGCTTTCAAACTCAAAAGGCAACAGATACAGAATTGTTTTGGTGGCTTTGATACACGTGGTTGATGGTGCGCTTCTTATTTTTGCGTAACAGGCGTGACAGTTGCTAATGAAGCTGAAGAACCCAAAGCAGCCATGGCTTCCTTCCTCACACTGCAATCTTAAATCTGATTCTACCTCAAGCCCTCAACCTGAAACCCTACTTTCCAGTTTTCTCTTTGCTCTCTAACTGTAAGTTTGCCCAACTTCCTCTTGCTCTGTCTCTCTCTCTATATGGATGTCCCTGCTTCTGAAAATAAAACCCAATGAATTGCTGCTTTTCTCATTTCTTGATTCAGTTTGCTTCTTTATTTATGTGGGTTTTGTTTGTCTGTATAGATTTCGAGTGGGTTTTGGTTCTTTGCTGTTTTGACCCAACTGATTTTCAATACGTGTGGATGTTTATAGTAAAATAATTATTGATATTTTAGCTATTTTATTTGCATTCATTTGATTGGGTTTACTTGTTTGAATTTGAACTGCAGCTTATTTGATTGGGCTAGGAGAATCGACAAAGAAGATTAAGAGAAGCAATAGGGTACTTCCAGCTCCTCTGCTGGCTGCAGCAGCTGCAAGTGCAAGGTAGGTTCTTTTCTTCTTTCTTCGCCCTTCTTCTCCTTCTCCTCAATCAAAGATTCAGAAAAGTTGAAAGATGAAACCCTATCCCCATTTAAATTTCTTTGTAGAACCAGGAAGGAGAAGAGTCGGCTATGGCTGAAAATTAACTTTTGAAAATAACGCTTTCATCCCAAATTTATTAAAACTTCCGTCCTCCAATGCATTAGGAAGAGGAGTGGTATTTAGATTGAGTGAAGTGGACAAACTCCTTACATCTCTACTCCTCAATTTCATTTATGATGGTTTTTCTGTTCCTTAACTACACCTCAAGTGTTTGGGAAATAAGAAAAATGAAACCAACAAGAATTATGCTGAATGATTTTGTGCTTGCTGTTCCTAGTGTTATGTTTCAATACACTTCATCATCATCTTGCTCAAACATTCAATTTAATTCTCTATTTGCATATTTTAGTGATTTGTTACTTTTGTTAAAATATTCAATATTTATTGTGTCTTTTTTAGGGTAGATGACTACTCCCCGAGTATCATACCTTCCTGGTCACATTTTAGTTCTTAATTGATGTAAAAATTTATACAATTTTGATTTCTAGCCCGGGCGGGGCCATAATCATCAAATTGGGCTCAGCAAAAGAAAAGAGTGACATAGAGATACATACAAAGAGAGAAAGAAATGGAGGAGTGCTTGACTGGGGCTCTAGTCCCGGCGGTGAAACCAGAACCAAAGCCATCAAGTGTTGAGGCTTCGGCAGATCCAGGGAGCAATGACATGGATCGTCCAGCTCATGAGAAAGGATTGACGGAGGTGGACAAGGACTTGTTGTGTCCAATTTGCATGCAGCTGGTAAAGGATGCCTTCCTCACAGCATGTGGTCACAGCTTCTGCTACATGTGCATCATTACCCACCTTCGCAACAAGAGTGACTGCCCTTGCTGCGCCCAGTTCCTCAGCACCAACCAATTGTTCCCCAATTTCCTGCTGGATAAGGTCCCCTCTCAACTTCCTACTCCTTAAAGATGAAAAATTATATACTTGGAACTGCAGCTTACTGTGATATGGAATGTACTGTAGCTTCTGAAGAAGGCATCGGCCCGTCAAATTTCCAAAAGTGCGTCCCCTGTGGAGCATTTTCGTCAGGCATTGCAACAGGTGAGTCTAATTGTCCGAGTCAAGTAAATAGAATATGAATTGTTATTTGTTGTATGAATGTGGTGCTTTGCTGTGATAGGGATGTGAAGTGTCCATCAAGGAGCTAGACACCCTGTTGACACTCCTGGCGGAGAAGAAGAGGAAAATGGAACAAGAAGAGGCGGAGAGAAATATGCAAATACTGCTCGACTTCTTGAATTGCCTAAGGAAGCAAAAAGTTGAAGAGCTTAATGAGGTCTCTTCATGTTTTTCTTTGTGTTATGCTAAATATATTTGACTTAATTGAATTGAATGGCTTACATTACGGATTCAATGTAGGTCCAAACCCATCTTCAATTTATTAAAGAGGACATAGGTGCCGTAGAGAGACGCAGAATGGACTTGTACCGTGCGAGGGACAGATACTCCGTCAAGCTGCGGATGCTTGGAGGGGATGATTCTATTTCTGGTGCAAGAAAGTCATGGCCTTCCTCCATAGATAACAACACCAGTTCTCTCAGTGGGCGAGCAGGGATGTCTTCATGGAATCTTCAATCTAAGAAACTTGATGGCTGGGGACTTCAGAAAAAGGATGCTTTAAGTGCATCAGACTCCCAGTATATGACTCAATCTGGTCTAGCTGTAGCCAGAAAGAAGCGGGTCCATGCACAGGTCTGTGAGAGTCCTTTCATGTGAATTGTAGACTAACTTTGCACTTTGCGTGTTTCTATCTTTTAATAAATATACTTGTACCTCGTGGCCATTACTAGAATTCTGAACAATTTGACATTAGATGATGGGTAAAATGGTACTGCCCTATTATCCAAACCTATTCCCTTATTTGATCCTCAACAAAAGCCACCTCAATTGTACTCTATAAATGCATAAATATCTGTCAACTTGGCATGAAATCAGAACTTATTTTGGGTTTTGGCCATGGGGTTTCTGTACTTTACTTGAGTTTACGTTTATTTTTATTGGTCGAGTTACTTGATTTTAAGGTAAGATAGACCCTGAACTTCTTTTTATTGTTGTCTTGATTTATTCTCATTCCATCTCTGGCTGTAGTTTGATGAACTACAAGAGTGTTACCTGCAAAAGCGACGCCAGATGGCGAACCAACCATATACCCAGCAAGAACGGGACAAAAATGTGATACAAAGAGAAGGTTACACTACAGGCCTTGCAGATTTTCAATCAGTGCTCACTACGTTAACGCGGTATAGGTATGATAACCAGATATTGGATTCCTTTACAGAAATATTTATTTTTGGTCAATTTACACAGATATAAATTTTTTAATTAACTATATCACCATGTTTCATCCGCATTTTTTTTAAATTTTTCTTATGAAACAGTCGGATGAGGGTCATTGCTGAACTTAGGCATGGGGATCTATTTCACCCAGCTAATATAGTATCAAGGTGATTAGTGAATATTGCATATCATGTCTAACTTTTCAGAATGAAACATATTGATATTAAAAATGAACTACTCTCTCTCTCTCTCTCTCTCTCTCTCTCTCTGTTCTTTTGAGAACCTCATTGATTTGTTGACATTCATTGCAGCATTGAATTTGACCGTGATTATGAATTGTTCGCTACTGCTGGGGTTTCACGGTGCATAAAAGTTTTCGACTTCTCCTCAGTACGTACTTGATTTTAATGTTCTTTTTACCATTACTTTCAGCAACAATGGTTGTCTATCAGCAAAAAGAAAGTGTTCAGCATAGTCAAATATTAAAAGAAAAGGGTGGAGAGATAAGATTTTTTTTGTTTGAATGGCTTCATCTCATCTAATTTGACTCTGTATTTCCATCCATGCTCCATGTTAAATTCTTAATTTTTTTTCAACAAAGCTGCCAAATTGCCTTTAGTCTTTGGTCGTTTTAAAGCCTTCAGCTCATATAAGAATGTGGTTTTTACTCATGAAAAAGTTTATTGTATCGTTATATATAAACAAATAGAAAATTTAAATTAAGTGTAGTGAGAAGTGAATTAACCATTCATCAAACTTGTTCATGCTCAACAAATATAGCCAATTTGAAGGAAACTACATAACAATCTTGTATGGTCTTGCGAAAATGTATCATAGTTTATGCTCTCTTTCACAACTCTAGTATCAAGAATGTTTGTTGATGGTCAGACACAAAATCCTTATACTAACCTTCCAAATTCTTATACTCTAGTATTGGGATGAGCAAAGGACACCCATTAGGTGATGTGGTGGTGGTGGTAGTAGTGGCGGTGGTTGTAGTGGTAGTGGTAGTGGCAATGGTGTTGAATACCCAGTGTATCCATTGCCCATCCCTACTCCAGTCTATGAGGCACACAAAATTCAAAGTATAAACTCAAACATCGAATCTGAATAGGGCTTTCTCTCAGCCTTAGCTGAGAGATTAGAAGTTTAGAACCCCATGACAAAAAAAATAATGGGTCTTTCTATGGGGAACTGCTCTGAAACTAAAAACACCAAGCTACCAATCTGCCGTCTCTCTTCAAGTCTATCTGCTGCCAAAGTGTCCTTTTTTTAGTGAAAATCTTTTTTGTCAAGTAGGATTCCTGATGCAGTGTGCTTTTCCCTTTCTTAAGGCCCATGTCAGTCTCCAATCTTTCACATCAAAGTCAAGCTCATGTCCAACACCTATTGTAGAAGCTACAATTCCGTTGCTTTCTTTCCTTTTTCAGTCATACCTCTTCTCCCAATTGAATTAGGAAAAGTCAGGCCCAGCTGTACTATTTACTTCCAGTCCTGATTTTCAACTTAGAATGAGTAAAAATTTAATAAGATTGAAACTAAGAACACAAATCACAAGGTCCTGGTTTCTATTTTGTTGTTGTTAATTTAGGAAATAATGGGGCAAGAGAAATATTAATGAAGGAAGAAAAGCTGTGGGCTCTACTTCAGTATTAGTATAATTTCTTGTAATTGGCTCCTTTTTAATCATTTCATTTACATGAGCCATACACCTATAAAGAACAAAAGTTTATCACATATAAAAATTAGCTCTCCAATTACATAAAATAAAATATTAACAAGCTCTCCAATTAAATAAAATAAGATACTAACAAATATTATGTGTCTGTCCATCAGCATTTTGTACGCCTGCAATGATTAGGGTTTCGAATAAATGAAGCATTGCATGACAAACATTGGCCCAAACCTGTCATGTTTCTGCTGATGAACATAGGATATGTGACACCATGTAGTTTCTTCAACTTTAAGTAAATTAATTTAATTTATAATTAAACATGCAATAGTTCCACTTATCCAAATGTACTTCAAAAGTTAACTTGGGTTGGGATCAATGTATTTCTGTCACCTTGACCTGTGATATTAGATCAGTTCACTTTTGTCCCGTTTGACTTTAAGTTCAGTAAATGTAAACCTCTTAACGGAGGAAATATTGCAATTGTTGACATGAATCTTCTTGTGGTTTTGTCGAAGCCAGTCTTGAACAGTTTTGAACGATTGAAGAGTCTTGCAATCACATACTCAATGTGATGTTTCCAGTGCCTGCATGTGTCTGTGTCTACTTTTTTCTTTAGGGGGAGTGGGTTGGCAATTTAAGTACTCTTGATTTATGAAGTTTATGAAGCCAGCCAATCAATTAATGATTATCACTGCTCATTGACCACCCTTTTTGGGATTTGGAAGTATTGATGTTGATTGTTTATGCTGTTTCTTTCCAGGTTGTGAATGATCCAGCTGATGTGCATTGTCCTGTTGTGGAGATGCCTACACGTTCAAAGCTTAGTTGCTTGAGCTGGAACAAGTTTACGAAAAACCATATAGCTAGTACTGATTATGAGGGAATAGTAACAGTTTGGGATGTAAATACTCGGCAAGTATGTGATGTTATTTACACATTCTGATTTTTGTGCGTGATTTGAATTTGTATACTTATTGCCTCAACCTTCAATTTTTGTTGCTCATGCTTAAATTTTGTGACAGAGTGTCATGGAGTATGAAGAGCATGAAAAACGTGCTTGGAGTGTTGATTTTTCATGCACAGAGCCCACTAGGCTTGTATCTGGTAGTGATGATTGTAAGGTACTCTCAGAATCTTTATATCTAAACCACGTCTTGTATTATGCTTAGGTGATCCGAAATGTAATGTAGTACCTGTTTCCTTCTGGAAAAGCAAAGAACATGATGCTGCATGCACTATTCTGTTTCTATCTATTAAATCAGTAGTAAGAAATTTATGAACAAACCTCGAGGGGGAAAAATTATACTCACTATTTGCAAGTGAATATTCCTAGTGGGTATAGTCGAGATGTTGTTAACTATGCTACTAATTTTGTTGTATGCTGACTTAAGGCTGGCTGGTTTAGGCTACCAAAATACGTGATGTGTGCTTGTATCTGGTCACTATATGTAAGTTTGCATATACGGGAGGCTAAATTGATGCGTTATGGGTGTAGTATCAATAACTCAGTTGTCGTATTTCAGCTGGGGGAAAATAAATATGTTAATTTTGCAAGACAAAATTAATGGATTCAGAGCAATATTAAAATGTCCTTGTGTAATTTGACGTTGCATATTGGTTGTGGAATTTTTTAGTATGTTTTAGCAATGCCAATAATTGTGGTGCATGCTTGAGTTGAGTTTTTGCTTGTTTAGGCTCACAATACTTGTGCGTTCAGCTGTTTTGGTGCTCAAGGAAGGTTCATTGAAGACTAACTATGCTGTCCTCTATTCTCTCTATAACAAGCAGGTAAAAGTTTGGTGCACAAGGCAGGAAACTAGTGTTCTTGACATTGACATGAAAGCGAACATTTGTTGTGTTAAGTATAATCCTGGATCAAGCAACTGCATTGCGGTATGCTCCTTTCATTACCAATATTGGAGAAAAATTATGGCACCAGAGTTTTCTGCTTTTGTGTGTTGTCATGTTTAATACCAGATAATTTGAGTGCAACAAGTGCTTTAATCGGTTAATACACAGTAATATACTGTGCCTGAGAAATCATTCTTATGGTCTATGCACTGGACCAACATGCCTTCAGCAGGCATGTATATGTGTTAATGTGTGCATGCGCTTATCAATTAAGTTTTGCTTTGACATCCTGTTATGGGTGGGGTATGTGGTGTATAAAATAATCATATCCAGGATATGTCCTGTTAATAATTCTTAGGAACTTAGCACAGTTCAGAGTTACAGTACTTTGTTAATGATAATTTTGTATTTTTCAAATATCAAAGAGGGGCTCCTCTTTGCATCAATGTCAGGATGCCGATTAGTGAAAATCAGGAGGTATACCTGCCGTATGTTATCCAAACTTGTCCTGAGCATAGAAGAATATTATTTTAAAGTTTCAGTGCTAATTTTCTATTATGATGTTTCCGTCAAATAAAGCCTCAACTCTTTCTCCTTCTGCCTTTTACAGGTTGGTTCAGCAGACCATCACATCCACTATTATGATTTAAGAAATCCAAGCCAACCACTCCATGTGTTCACCGGGCACAAGAAAGCTGTTTCTTATGTGAAATTCTTGTCAAACTATGAGCTTGCCTCTGCATCCACTGATAGCACACTGCGGTTATGGAATGTGAAGGAAAATATTCCAGTAAGTGATGAAACAAAGTCGGTTTTAGTACGCTTTAATAGTTAACAAGTTATTTTATGTAATCTACCTGGAAAAATAAAACCAAAAGAGAAAACGAGAAAAGAATGGAATTGTTGACATTATATTATGAAACTTATTTCATGGATTAAGTTAAGTTGTACTGATCTTCTGTTTTTTGGTTGAAGGTTCGTACGTTTAAAGGTCACACAAATGAGAAGAACTTCGTAGGTCTAACAGTAAACGGGGAATACATTGCGTGTGGCAGTGAAACGAATGAAGTGTTTGTGTATCATAAGGTTGCTGGCGTTCAAAATAACCCATCTCAGCACTTTCTTACCTAGTGATTATCTAAACTTTTAGTATGATTTGCAGGAAATTTCCAAACCTGTGACTTGGCATAGATTTGGATCGCCTGATTTGGATGACACCGATGATGATGCAGGGTCTTACTTCATCAGTGCTGTATGTTGGAAGAGTGATAGCCCTACCATGCTAACTGCTAACAGTCAGGGAACCATTAAAGTGCTGGTTCTTGCTGCTTAAACAACTAAATGGAGACTGTAAGAAGGCTTCATGAGAGAGAACGCTGTTGCCATTGTTGAATCTAATGGTTCTTGTTTTGTATATGTTATTGAAGTGTAAATGCTAGGTTTGAGATGCAATGTCATTATTTGTAGTCGTATAAATAATACCAATGTACCAAAGAAAGTGAATATAGAGCATTGATTATTCAGTGGATTCCCATTGAGGGGTTCAATCCAGCAGTCCAATAATAATTCTGCACTAGATGCTATTAAGAAACCCCACTTTTACCCCTCATTATAGCCTGCCTTCACTTATAGGCATGTGTGCCGCCCTTGGTTTTCTTTAGTTGGGTTTCGTTCTACGTTGGGGTATTGTATTTCTATTTTCTTTGTGCACAAAAAGATCAAAAATCATAATGCTTAGGGGCTCGTTTGGTACGCTGGACTGTATGAACTAATCAAAGAAACACTAAGAGAAAGGGCAAGGCAAGGGCTGTTACTATTTATGTGAATAGTGGCAGCTCTTGAAAAAGGCTTGTTGTGTTTCCACCTATTGCCATGCAAAAAGCAAATACTATTCACTTTAATTTATTTTTTTTTTTATAAAATTTAAACGATTAATTTGGAGAAGATTTTTAGTTGCCACGTGTCAATATTTATTATAAAATTTATATCTCATAATTCGGATGAATTTTTCGGATAAAATTTTCGAATAAGATTTTCGGTTGTCATTGTAGACAGACAAATTTTGGCGCAATAAATTCTGTTAAATAAGAAAATAATTAGGGTTTGGTGGATTAAATTGTGGGCCCCATAATCCGCCCATGTGGCGTACGACTCATCAAAATCGGATTAGTTGTCAAAGGTGACACGTGTTGAAATCCGGCAGAGTGCATCAAACAGTTCAAAGTGTAGACAAAATTAAAGGAAAGAATCTTCTGTGATTGACTTTGATTTAAATCAAATGTTAATCAAGTCAATTAATTGAAGATAATTTGGTTAAATTGCCAAATTATTGGAATTGATTTTAAATCAAATCAAAATCCCACAAAGCAAGGTCCTAAAGAAGGAAAGCTATTTAGGTCAAGCATCCTATAGGAGCCTATAAATAGGAGGCCTCAAGACGAAGGAAAGGAGCTTAGACAAACCAAGCACTCAGAAGAAACAGAAAACTCTTTGCATTCTTCACCTCACTTTGGAAGAGCCACCAAGCACAACAAATATGTGCCGGTTCATCCACCCTAGAAAAAATCCAATCACCAAATAAGCCTTGTGCTACCCATTTGATCAAGATCAAGTCTCTACGACCCTTGTATCAAACACAAATTTTCTTTAAACACTTTGGAGATCAAATAAGAGGATTTCATAAAGAGATTGTAACCAAAATTTCATTAATACAAATATTATTTTGTACACGTGTTCTTGTCTCATTTGTCGCAGGATTTTCATGTTTATAGAAAAGACGTCCATAGAGAGCAGGCACTCTACACGCCCATAGAAAAGACGTGTCTTGCACTTGTTTTTGCTGTTCAAAAGTTAAGGCACTACATGCAAGCGTTCATGATTCATCTAATTGCACAAGCTGACCCGGTGAGGTACGTTATGTCAAAACCAGTCTTGACGGGGCGTTTCGCCAAGTGCGTGTTACTTCTCAATCAATATGAAATCATCTTCACTCCAGCAAAGGTGGTTAAGGGTCAAGCTGTTGCAGACTTCCTAGCCGATCATCCAATTCCAGCAGACTGGGAAGTTTCAAATGACTTACCTGACGAACAAGTCTTCTTCGCTGACGTTTCTCTTGCTTGGATGATGTTCTTTGACGAATCGGCTCGTATAGATGGGGCAGGGGCTGGCGTAGTCTTCGTATCACCCAAGAGATACGTATTACCCTATTCATTCTATTTAAGTGAACTTTGCTCAAACAATGTTGCAAAATACCAAGCTTTGATCTTGGGCTTGCAAATGCCCATGGAGATGAAGATATCAAGCTTAGAAGTGTATGGTGACTCTATGTTAGTGATCAACCAGCTATTGACCTATTACGAGGTTAGGAAGGATGATTTGATTCCATACCACCAAATGGCCACGTAGTTACTTGAAAAGTTTGACTTCGTGACGTTGGAACAAGTTCCAAGAAAAGATAACCAAATGGAAGATGCCTTAGCCAACCTTGCTGCTACCTTGGCGTTGACAAAAGATGAAGCAGTGAATCTTCCAATTTACCACTATTGGGTCGTTCCATTAGCACTTGGAGCATCGCAAAAAGGAGTCAACGTTATCTCAGTATTGTCCATTGACGTTGACGATTGGAGACAACCTTTAATTGATTATCTTGAGCATGGGAAATTGCCAGATGATTTGAGACATCGATCAGAGGTACGACATCGGGCACCTCGATTCATTTATTACAAAGAAATTCTCTGTCGTCGTTCATTCGAAGGCGTGTTTCTAAGATGCTTGGGAGAAGAAGATGCATCCAAAGCGATGGAAGAGGCTCAATCAGGTATTTGTGGAGCTCATCAATCAGGGCCAAAGCTACATTTCCAAATAAAGAGGATGGGCTACTATTGGCCGATTATGGTCAAGGATTGCATGGATTATGTGAAGAAATGCTGGGCATGTCAATTCCATGCAAACTTTATACACCAGCCGTCGGAGCCGCTACATCCCAGAATTACTTCATGGCCATTTGATGCATGGGGTCTTGATGTGGTGGGACCGATAGCACCCAAATCTTTTAACGGTCATTCTTACATCCTTGCAACCACAGACTACTTTTCAAAATGGGCAGAAGCTGTACTTCTAAAGGAAGTGAAGAAAGAAAACGTAGTGAGCTTTATCAAAGTAAACATCATTCATCGGTATGGTGTGCCGCGTTACATCATAACAAACAATGGAAAGGCATTCTCGAATCAGTTAATGGATAAACTGTGTGACGATTTTGGTTTCAAGCAACACAACTCTTCAATGTACAATGCCCCAACCAACTGTCTTGCAGAAGCATTCAATAAAACTCTTTGCAACCTGTTGAAGAAAGTTGTCGGGAGAACCAAGAAAGATTGGCATGAAAGGATAAACGAAGCATTATGGGCTTATCAGACAACATACTGGACACCTACTCAGGCTACACTGTACTCAATTGTGTATGGCGTGGAAGCAGTCTTGCCTCTAGAAAGTCAAATTCCATCATTAAAGATGGCCATACAAAAGGGATTGATTGATGAAGAGAATGCGAAGCTGCGTCTCCAAGAGTTAGAAGCATTAGACGAAAAGAGACTCGAAGCGCAACAACGCTTAGAATGTTATCAAGCTCAGCTTTCGAATGCTTTTAATAAGAAAGTCCGCCCTAGATCTTTTTAGGTAGGAGATATTGTCATTGCATTACGTAGACCTATCATCACAACACACAAAACCGGAAGTAAGTTTACTTCGAAATGGGATAGGCCCTACGTAGTACAAGAAGTATACACAAGTGGCGCTTACAAGATCGTAGCCGAGGACGGCTTAAGGGTTTCCCCATCAATCCGAACCATTTGAAAGAAATAATGAAATAAGAAAATGCTTTTATTTCATTACGAAAGTTAACTAGTAAACATCAACACTTTGACAAGTTCGAAGAGAAATATGAACGAAGCAGAGAAAGTTTACAACAACAAATAAAGTTGCTATTCCCAAGACAAGTCCCTAAAGGCATTACACAATCTCTCAAAAGAAACTCGTAGTGCATCTAAAGTCTCAACATCGGCATCTGATAATACAGGAGCTCCTTTGACTGCAATCTTATCCTCTCTCAAGCGGGTAACCTCACCATGATGATATGAAAGTTGTGCACCACTCTCTGAGAGTGATTTGTTTAGTTGACGCAGTCTTAACTCCAATTGTTCTTGTTCTCTCTTCAACTCCTCCATATGCGTGTTGGCAGAGTTAATAGACTCAAGCATGGAAAACTGATGAACCTCTTCAGCTTGTTGCAAAGCCAAAGCAATAGAAAGTAAAGAGTCAACATCAGCTAAACGATCGCTTTGAACCTCAGGAGATAGCTTTTGGGAGTAAGTAGAGTGTGCAGAATAATAGTCAATTGCGGTCACCATAAGTGCATGGATCATAGCTCATAAAGATGAGACGTCCGCCCCCACATTGTCAAGGGTAGTCAACAACTTGCCAAGCTCATCTTTGAATGAAGGAAACTACTTTGCGAAGGGTTCTCTGAAGATATATAGCGGGCACGTCACAAAAAAATGTGTCATCGAGTGGGTATGCCATGTCCAGATCGCAATAGAGTCTGACACTTGTCTTCTTATGCCTAAAGTTGACTTCACTGTCTTCATTGCTACTTATATGCCCTCACTTCAAGTTGCGAATTCGTCGACCGAGGGAAACGAAATCTTCACGTGAATTTGCTACACTTTATGTTTCTCCTTTATCATTAGGGACCCGAGTTGGAGGAACATCAACTGGAACTGGATGTTGAACTCGAGGCGCGGGAGTAGTAGAACTACCTTTAACTTCTGGATGAACTCTATGCACTTTATCACGCATGAGTTTATTAAAAGATTTTGACTGAGATAACGACGACGAATTGCCTACAGTTGAGACTGTCTTTGACTTCGTTGATTCAAAGCAATGCACCTTTGACCACCAACAATATAATCGGAGGTGACCTCAAATTCCTGAATATTGTCCTTAGTGGGTAGGGTTATTGTAGATGCACTGCCAACATTTAAGCATGACTTCCAATGTGAATACACTGATAGCATAGTCCCATTCCGGATGTCATCTTTAAGTTCTCCTGGCAAATGTTGTACATAGCAGAACTATCTACTGAACCAGTGCGGGCTATAAGGTTGGATGACTAGGTAGTTTTCCTGTCGTAGAGAAATGTGTCCCGAACGAAGGCATATCAAATACGCAAAGTCTTCTTTGAAAATATGATCTTCATCAGTCAGTCGTTGGCACTCTGAAAACATTCTTGCCCGACAGCTCATCTCCACTTTATGACAAGTCTGGAACAAAGCTCAAGCTATTGAATCTTCAAAAAAATTTGCTGAAAGTCTTCTTGAGAACCTTGCCATGGTAGAAGTAGACTTCTCTGAAGATGATGTAAAGTGTGTGTCGAAGTATTCGCCCAACCACCCATACACATAATGGAAAGGAAGAACAGTTGCACAATTTCCTGGATCATCTGCGCTAGAAATATCGTTCAATCCCTTGTAAATGCTAGCCAATACTGGAA